GAGCTTAGAACGACCTTGGTGTTTCACCTGGTCCAGAAAGTGCTCTCTCTGTGAAGGAACCTCACCTCTCTGATTTCCTTTCTCAGAGTTGTAACTTTGGATCTCAAATGTACTCGGACATAGCTGAGAGCAGTGATGATGCCTGTAGTCCCAGCTACTGAAGAGACTGAGGCAGGAGGATTGCTTAAACCCAAGAATCTGAGGCTAGCCTGGGCAGCATACTTAGATTACATCTCTTGAACTCAATTGTCAATCAATCTTTTCTTAACACGGGCTTTATGAACATGGCTGCACCTGCCCCTCTGACACAATCCTGAGTGAAAATGGACACAAACAGTCACACTGCCTCCACCACCACCTTGGGCTTCAGAGTTTGGAGGCTTCTTCCTGCACGTCCTCTTCCCTATATATAAGAACTTGTCTTCATGAAGTGCTGTTTTTATTTCCGCTTCTCTGGTAAAGAGACCATGCCATGAGTTTTCCTTTACATACAGGGTACACATGACCCAGCCACCCACATAGGCAACTCAACCAAGAACAGTCAAAAGGTCTACATATACTGTAACTTTCCTACGTATGTGCCTATGACAAAGTTTAACTTATAAATTAGCCACAGTAAAAGATTAAGAACAAAACTTGTACTAAAGTAAAATAATCACTAATAATAATAATGGACTGTAAGAAACATATGTGCTTTGGGACATTACTAAGTGAAATGTGAATTATTGGTCCACATGCTTTCCTGCCACAACAGTGCTAGCAGGCTAAGTGGTGGATGGTGGTATGCGGTATATGGAACAGATATCCTGGAACAAGGTATGATTTGAAGCCATGGAAGGAGAGAGTAGGGCCTTTAACATGCCACCCAGGTCAACAAAGACTTTTTGCTTTTTGAGTCATTTATTTGAGTCTCCATTTAATCTGTTCAACTATCAGTGGAATAGGGAGGGAGGGAACTCTGTGTGTGTGTGTGTGTGTGTGTGTGTGTGTGTGAGAGAGAGAGAGAGAGAGAGAGAGAGAGAGAGAGAGAGAGAGAAAGAGAGAAAGAGAAATTTTTGTTAGGATAACAAAAATCATGACTCTTTCAGGTCTCTGCTACTGAACATGAAGGACCAAGTTTAATTCCCTCTGACCAGAGCTATTTTAGAGGAAGCTCATGAAACATAAGAATAGGACAGAGTCCCAGCTTGTGACGGCAAGGCATTCATTGGCTGACTCCTCCGGGCCCCGGGCCCCAGATCATGCTGGAGAACTTTCAGTTTCCCCAGTCGTTAGCCTGTGCACTCTCAACCTATTGCATTTGTGTGTCACGTTCCTGCTAACTTTGGGGTCTCCACTTGAACGTCATTGACATTTGGGACTGGGTGGGTCTTTCCTAGGGACGGTGGGGTCATTATCTGCACCAGCTTTATCCCTGCTGGCCTCTATCTGTCCACTAGACTAGAGGTTTATAAGATTCCAAGTCCAGTTCCAATATTGACTTAGAGAGATAGCTCAGTTGACAAGGCCCTTGCCATCTAAGCATGAAGACTGGTGTTCAACCCACAGACCTGCATAAAAAGACCTAGATGCGACATGTATTTCCAACACCTGGGAGGGTCCTCGGGCTTAAGGTCAGACAGCATCATCTAATCTGTGAGCCCCAGGCCAGTGAGAAACCCTGCTCCTGAGGAATGATAATCCAATGATGATCCCTGCCTCTTCCCCAATCCCTCTAATACCATTACATGTTCTTAGCTAGTAGTTAACCACCGTGCTACTGGGGATGAGTCCTTCTGTCTGTCAAGGTGTCTTAATCCTCTTCCATGGCTTAACCGAAGCACCCTTTCCTCTGAGAAACCTTCCAGAATGGCCCCCTTCCAGGGCAGAACTGCTCTGCCTTCTGCCAGGTGCAGAACTTGGATGCTGTGCTCCTCTGTGGTGGTGTAATGGCTCGCCTCCTTCCCTTGACACGCTGTGAAATCCTAAAGGGCATGAGGATGACTTCTAGCCCATATTCTCCGGTCCTCAGGACTCAGAATGTGTAATCCATACTGAGAAAATGTGAAATAGAAGGACCGTATGCTTACACTCTCGGCTGGCTCTCCCTGAGAGGTGACTCCTACAAGACACAAGCACCTTTATCCTCACCCTGGGCAAGATTTCAGCTCCACCATCTAGTCCTTGATAAAGGACAGGTTCTGGCTTCCGTTCCCAGTCACAGTTTATTATCAAGGTCACAGCGGAAGCTGCCCAGGAGCCCTGCTCTGGTTGACTGTCATTGTCCACTTGACACAATCTTGTATTGTGCCAGAAGAGCATTAATGGGAAATTATTTAGGTCAGATTGGACTATGGACGTGTTGGTGGGCAGTGCCTCGATTATTAGTTAGGGTGGGAAGACCCACCCTGAATGTGGGAGGCACCATTTAGTTACCCGAATTCTGAACTGTACAAGAGTGAAGAAGGCCAGCTGAGTGCCAGCAGAAGCAAGCACACAGCAGGGTGTGTTCACGTCTCACACACAGGTCTGGACTATAGACGTGCTGAGACTAGCTAAATTCTGCCTTGACAGCTTCAAAATGGCCGATCATATGTGGTCCTGCACGTCAAATAAAACCCTTTCCTCCTCAATTGCTCTGGTCTGGATGTTTACCATGGCAGCAAAAGGACCGTCACTTGGTTCAAGCTGTGTCTGCCTCACAGAGTGGGGACCCCCATTCTATAGGGGGTCTATAGAGGCCCAGAGGGTTTATCCCCATATCCTTGGGATAATAGTCCAAGGCAGTTTGACTGCAAACCCCAGTCACCGCCCTGGCTATGGGCTCCAGAGTTTTCTTTTCCTTTGGGACAAGATCTCCCTGTGTAGGTATAGCTGTCCTGGAACTCACTATAAAGACCAGGCTGACCAAGAACTCAGAGATCCACCTGCCTCTGCCTCCTAAGTGCTGGGATTAAAAACATGTGCCACTACCCCTAGTTTCCAGATTATTTTTAATTATCAGGATTTACACTTAACCTGTTGCCACCAAAGTCTGAATGGCCCCTTTGTCCAGACAAAGAGTGGTTGGTCTCCCTCTGTGTCACTTCCTGTCACTGCAAACAGCATCAAAGTCTACCAGAATATGGGGAAAATCTTCTTGATGTTGAATTTGCATATATGAGGACTAGAGGATGGTTTGTATAATCAAATTATGTGGGATTGTAAAAGGGAGCAGCGTTTAAATAGCTTACAAAATTACTTTGAAGACACACATTAAAATCTAAAGAAGCCATCGCCTTCGAGGTCTGCACAGAAAGTTAAATGCTAATTGATTATGACAGCTCCGTCTCTATCACTGGCACCGCCGCTGCCTCTGCTTTGCAGGATCACAGCTCACACGCCACCCCACCCCTCCTCCAACCACATTCAATCCGCGCTAATGCGAACAGATGGGGTTTTATACAGCCCCCCACATCCTGGAGAAGATCAAAAGAAGCAGCCTTTAAAAAAAAATAAAAAAACAAAAAAACCCAAAACTAGAATTTGCTGAAATTCTGATTTCTTCCAGCAGCTTTACAGATTTTTATAACTTATTTTATCGGCGATGCAAGGTCTCTGAGCCCAGCATCTGTTTGTTGCATCTGGAGAAAAAGAGAAATTCCTTTTTTTATGCCACTGAACCAAATTTAAGAGGTAGGCAGGCAAGCAGGTCTTAACGGAAGAGACAGCAGCACGCCCTCTCTGTCCAGGCTGTCCTCTGTCGCTGTCTCTGTGTCCTGTGGGCAGGACAGGGAGAATGGAAAAGAAAGAGGAGTTCAAGGCTCGGCAAGGTTGCCTGCTTAGAGATGAAATCCTGAGCCAGTTTGGAGCAGGTGCCCCCCAGTCAGGGGACGATTGCTCATGAACATGGGCTACCAGGAGCTAGCGGCTCTACAGACTTCTTTCCTTAAAAGTCCCTACACATCATTTATAATTTTCCCAGACCTAAGCCTCCTCAGCTCCGTAGCTGTTTATAAGATTAATAGATGCATAATTGACTCTTCTGCCGAGAGAGAGAGAGAGAGAGAGAGAGAGAGAGAGAGAGAGAGAGAGAG